GTAACACTTTTTCGTACTGACTCATTATTTATAAACTTTTCTTTCCTCCTTATTTCCTAGTTCTGTTCCATCAGCCTTCTTCCCATCTTTCTCCTCCCTCCCTCCCTCCCTCCCTCCCCACAATCCTTCTTTCCTTTATCTTTACGCTTGCCCTCCCTGCCCTTTTCCTTCCTTCCCACCTTAATTTTTTTCTTCACTTCCTCCCTCGGACCTGTTTTGCTCCCTCCCCCATTTCTTTCTTCTTCCCATTCTCCTTTTAAGCTGTACCAGCTCCCTTTAAAGCTTTTCTTCCCACCCTCTTTATCTCTCATCCTACGGGGGTTTGGGGGGGATGGCGGGGGGCCGGGTTAGTGGCGCCCCCAGGCAGAGTGCTCTCAGACCAGGCGTGGTGCACGGGGGTTGTTTGTCCAGCGTGTGCACCCGGGAGAAAAAGAGGACTCCAGCGCCAGGCAGGGATGCAGCCTCATTTCCCCCGCCCGGTTCTGTGTGAGGGAAGCAAAGGCGGCCAGTGCGCCCCATTTCCCTGAAGCACCTGAGAAGCTGCTCAGAAGGTGCCGAGCCAACTGAGACCAAGAGGGGTGGAGGGTGTTTGCTTCCATCCCACGTTGGTGCTTACTGTCCGCCCAGGTTCCTCTCAATGAGCGAGAAGCCTTTACCCCGGAGGAGGCCACTGCTCAGCCCAGCACCCTCTCCGGCTGTGGGGCAGAACCCCCAGATCAGGGCCTCCATGTCACCAGACTGACCACTCCCCTCCCCAGTGGGGGCCTGACTCCCACTGAGGGGGGTGCAGGGCCAGGCAGGACCCTGGTAAAGCCCCAGGTTTACACACCTGCCCCTGGCTCGGAAGCGAGGGGTCTCAACCCTCCCAGGGCGTCCGGTCTGGCACAGAAAGTCCCCCTGCTGCGTGCGCAGCCTCCTGCTGGTCTGTCAATATGCAAATTGGTCATTACTGTGATCCTGTTAGGACCAATTTGCATATTACTTTATTATATAGATAGATCTTCTATGACTGTATTACTGTCAATCTCTCCTTTTATACCCATTAATATTTGCTTTACATATGCATTTAGGTGCTCCTATGTTGAGTGCATTAATGTTTAGAAGGGTTATATCCTCTGGTTGGATTGATCCCGTTATCATTATGAAATGCTCTTTCATTAAAACCTTTGTTTTAAAATCTATTTTATCTGGTGGTAGTATTGCTACCCCAGCTTTTAGTTTGTTTGTTCCTATTTGCATGAAATATCTCTGTGATCTCTTCATTTTGGGTCTGTGTTTTTCCATCTGAAGTCAGTCTCTTATAGACAGCATATATAAGGGTCTTGTTTTGTCATCTATTCAGCTACCCTATGACTTTATTGGATCATTTAATGCATTTAAATTTAATTTGAATATCAATAGGGTTGTAGTTTTTACCATTTTATTATTAAGATTTACATATTTTTTCCCGTATTTTTTTTTTAAAAGAAGTTTCTTTAACATGTCTTGTAATACTACTTTGGTGAGTGCAAGCAAAAAATTCCTCACCATCCCACAAAGAGCAAGCGAGTAGAGTCTCTCTGACTCTACTCCATGGCAGAGTGAACGACACATAACTCCCATCATGTCTCATAACAGGTGATACATGCCTTCCCTTCTCTTTCTGAGGAAAAATGAAACCTTTAAATGTGGATGTAAAGCCCCTCCCCACCCTGAGCTCTGGCACTGGCCTCAGTGGTTCCCAGGCTGACTGAGCCCAGGATTGCTTGTGAGCTTCTGACAAAACCGCCAGCCTCTCCCTGACCCACAGACCCAGAGAATTAGGCACAGACAGGAACCACCTGTGTAACACCCTGCAGGCGAGGCTGACACACAGACTCGGGGATCCTGGTCTGGGTTCTCAATGCTGAATGTGGGATCTGAAGACCAGCAGCATCAGCACCGGGATAGAGCCAGACTCTCACACTCTGCTCCTGACGTCCTGAGCCAACAAGAGGTGTAGGTGGTTCCTGAGCCCAGGAACGTTGGGGGCTCTGTGGTCCCTGTGCCTTCTAGACCCAGAGACAGAACAGTGCAGACGGCTCAGCACTGGGTCCTGGGTTCAGTCCTTCTTCCTTGGTCTCCTGTAGCCATCAGTCCCTTGGTGACCTCATCCATTCTCAAGGCTTTAAATGTCATTTACCTGTGTCGCCTCCCAAGTCTGTTTCTCCAACAAACATCTCTCCTGATCTCCAGACTCGTCTAACTGCCAATCTGACAGCTCCCTTGTGTTGCTAACAGACACTCATCTCCAGCATCTCTTAAAATGAAGGCCTGTGATGCCCCTCAAATAGGCTGCTCCAGAGTCTCCCCTTCTCTGCTAATGGGAACGCTGTCTCTCTACCTGTACCCTCTGAGATTTTTGGTGACCTTGATTCCTCTCTGGAATGCCCCAGATTAACCCTTAGGCTCGCTCTAAAGTCCATCTTCAGAAGGAACCAGAATCCCAGCATGCCCACTCATTCCACCATTCACCCCTGGAAGCTTCTCCAGCCTGAAGCCCCTCACAGACTCCTCCTGCCTCACCACCGCCCCCTCACCTGCCAAGTGTTCTCAGCTCAGCAGACAAAGTGATCCTTTAAAGAGGGAATCAGGCCAGGCCTCTCCTGCTCTGAACTCTCCTGTGGCTCCCTCCTCACTCAGCACAGTCCCTGCCCTTCCTCCATCCTCCAGGCCCAGGAGGTCTGGCCTTGCCTCTGTCTCATCTCCATTACTCTCTGCTCCATTCCCACACTGGCCTCCTCCCTCTTAAACCAGACACACTCCTGCCCCAGGCCATTCCCACTGGAGGTGCCACTGCTGGAAAGGACTTCCTTCTGACATCCTCAGGGATAATCCCTCATGTCCTTCAGTGCTTTCCTCAAGCCACCTTCCCAGGGAGGCCCCCACTGACTGGCCACCCAAATCAAACAGACATACCCTAGCTGGTTTAGCTCAGTGGATAGAGTGTTGGCCTGCGGACTGAAGAGTCCTGGGTTGGATTCTGGTCAAGGGCACATACCTGGGTTGTGGGCTCGATCCCCAGCAGGGGACGTGCAGGAGGTAGCTGGTCAATGATTCTCTCCCATCATTGATATTTCTATCTCTCTCTCCCTCTCCCTTTCTCTCTGAAATTAATAAAAATATATATATACACACTGAGTGGCCAGATTATTATGATCACCTGACATTTGTAGGTGGGGAGGGCAGTTTGGAGTGACCGGGCTGGCAGGGGAGGGCAGTTGGGGGCAATCGGGCCGCCAGGGGAGCAGTTGGGCATCCATCAGACTGGCAGGGGAGTGCTTAGGAGGTGATCAGGCAGGCAGGCAGATGAGCGGTTGGGAGCTAGCAGTCCTGGATTTTGAGAGGGATGTCCAACTGCTGGTTTAGGAACAGGCCTAAATTGGCAGTCGGACATCCCCCGAGGGTGCAGGCTGGGCTGAGGGACACCCTCCATCTCCGTGCACAAATTTTGTAGGCAAATTAGGGGTGGTCATAATAATCTGGCCACTCAGTGTATATATTAAAAACAAACAAAAAAACACCCATGGTCTGTGTCCCCCACAGCCACACTTGGGATTGCCTTCCCCATGGCATTTTTTCCCACAACAGTTACCCCTTGTCACACAGACGCCTTCCTTGTTTACTGTGCTTTTTCATTCACTCTGTTTCTTCCCACACAACGTATGTCACACAGGAAAGCACCTTTTCTGATTTTCCTTCAATGGTCCCCACATGCGGAAACACTGTCACACATCTGGTACACAACTAATACTGGTTCATGAATGGTCAGTGTAGAGCACCTCCCTGTGCTAGAGACACGTCTTCATTAACGTGGCCTCAGACGACAGCTGCCCTGTGGCAGCTACAGCACAGCGAGCTCTCACATTGACATCAGGGCACCTGCTCTTCCCACAGAGCGGCTCTCCCTGAATCTACAGGAGACTCTGCTTCAGAAATCCCAGGGTTCCCACTGCAGCCAGCGCTAGAGGGAAGGGCAGGGAGAGAGGGTGGGCAAGCAGAGCAGAATTCCAACAGGAACTTATCTAAGATGACCAATTACAGGACCCATCCTTCCTGCTAATTCCAGGACCTGGTTCCTTGGAGAGTTTAGGAAAAGATGGAAAGAACAATCAATTCCTAAAGGGAGCCAAGAGCAGCATGAGACTGAAAATTCATCTCTCCATACCACGGACTCTTGTGTGCAGGGACCCCTGAGCCTTGTGGGCACAATGACAGACAACTCACCTCTGGCTAATGCTGGGTAGGGGAAACTCACAAGAAGGATGAGATCAAAACTCCTAACAAGAACACAAACAGGCACAATCCTCTCCACAAACAAAGAAACAACAAATACAGTCCTAGGAGCTGAGGGCTGAGGGCAGGACCCAGGCCTGAGCCTAGGCTGACCCGGACACAGGAAGGCCTTGCTACCCACGGGTTTGGAGATGTTCCTCATTAGGACAATTTACAAGGCCTGGGGAGGTTTGAATCCCTGTGATCTGAAGTCCTAGGGGGACAAGGTTCTCCTGAAGGGAGAAGGACAAAGGAGCAGAGAGGTGACCCAGCTGAAGAGACCAGGGAGCCAACTGGGCACAGCCCTGACCACACTCGGTCCTCACAGCCTCTCCTGTCCCCCCTGCAACAGCCTCAGCACAGCAAACACATAGGATCTGACAAGTTCTCAGTGCGTCCATTTATTTCTCAAATTTTAGGATGTTCTCCTTTAATTTTTGAAAAATATATGTTTTTATTGATTTTCAGAGAGAGAGGATAGAGGAGGGAGAGGCAGATGGAAACATCGATGATGAAAGAAAATCATCCATTGGCTTCACTTGCATGACGCTGGTGGGAACTGAGCTGAAATCTGGGCATGCGCACTGAAAGGGAATCCAACCGGGACTTCCTGGTTCCTGGGTGGACACTCAGCCACTGACCACACCAGCCGGGCTGTTCTCCTTTAATGAACCCATCACCCCTTCATGGCAAGAAGTGAAGAAGAATGCATATCCAGACTCTTATTTCAATCAGGCAGTAAGAAGCTGCAGCTGAGCGCACCAGGAAGTAAAGACAGGAATGGGGAGGGCCCAGCCCCACCTCTACTGGACAGGAAAGGCTGGGGAGGGGGTGTGGTGGGCAGGGATAGCCCAGGCTCCCACCTCCTCACATTATGCTGATAGGAACACACACATTCAGATGCTGTTTGCAGAAAGAAATCAGAGGTTCTTGAATCACAAAGTGGGAGGGTGAACACATCTCCCATCACTCAGTCCCCGACAAGTGCCTCAGGCTGTGGAAATAATGATCATGAACAAACTCAGTTCAGTGGCTGTAAGCAGTGACATTCTCAACATCCCACCACAGGCTCACTATGTCCCAAGGAATCCCCATCACCCAGTCCTCTCCCTTTTGCCCCAACCCCTGTTATCGTCAGAGTCTCACCATTAGAAGCCGTGAGAGATACATTAGAACCCTGGGCACTATCGCTGCCTGATGTGGAACAAAACAGGACGGAGTCAGAGACCCAGGAGAGGAGATTAAGGGAGGAACTATGGGGGTGAGGTTCCCCATGGGATCCAGTCTGTACTATCACAGGATCTCAGGGGTCACCCTCCATACTCACTGGCAGCCTGAGCATAGCTCCCTCCTTTTCCACATGTGGGAAGAAAACATCCTGTGAGAAGACAGGGAGGAGGCAGGGCCATGAGGTCCTAAAGGAACTCCTAGTCCTGGAGCCCAGAGAAGTTTCCAGAACTGTGTCTACAGACCCAGGGCAGGATCAGAAAACCTGAGGAAACTACATGTGTGGGGAATGGACCAACCACCCTCCGGAGGTCTGTCCTCAGCAGGGACCTTCCTCCCTGACCTGGGAGTGCTGGGAACCAGGCCCCATCACTAGAATCATCAGGTGATGAATCTGTCCCTCATTTCCACACGTGTCTTACTAAAGAGTGAGTGTCAGCAATAGGGCCCCACACTGGGCAACCACACGTGTGGGGATGGTACTTGCCATTAATGAAGCAGAACACACTTCTACCTGGGCTGGCAACCCCCAGTGAGATAACAAACTCAGGCCCCACCCCTTCCCTACCTGAGCGATTCCTCCTCCACCAAATCACAGCTCCAGTGACCACAGCTCCAAGGATGACCAGGCCCACAACCAGGCCCACAAGGGGAATGGTGGCCCAAGGAGGCGGCTCTGGGAAGAGAAGGGGAGGTGAGTGCCCTGACCCCCAGGCCTCAGCCCCGACCCCACTGACGTCCTCCACAGGCCCCTGCTCCCTGAGAAGAGGCTCTGTGCCCACGCCCTTCCTCACCCCATCTCAGGGTCAGGGGCTCAGGCAGCCCCTCATGCTGCACATGGCACGTGTATCTCTGCTCCTCTCCAGGGGGCACCACCAGGGCCGCCCACTTCTGGAAGGTCCCATCGCCCGCAGGCCTGGTCTCCACAAACTCCATGTCCTGGGTCTGCTCCTCCCCATCACGCTGCCAGCTCAGGCTGATGTCCGCAGGGTAGAAGCCCAGGGCCCAGCACCTCAGGGTGACCTCACGGTCAGAGATGGGGTGGTGGGTCACGTGTGTCTTTGGAGGGTCTGAGGGGAAGGGGGAGGAAATTCAGGGAGTTGGCACTGTCAGGGGACCCTCCAGCAGCCCTCATGTGACCACCTGAGCGTGGACAGGGCACCTGGGGAGGGCGAGGGAGCACACAAGCACCACCAGCCTGGACAGAGCATCTGGGGATGACCTCTCCTCCTTAGAAAGTTCTAGTCAGAGTGACACAGCCCAGGGCGGGAGGCAGGTCTCAGGGGAGAAAGGGATTTCTGGTCCTGACCTGGGTGGAGGCCAAAGGACTCAGAAAAGTCGGTGTCAGACCTCAGATACACTGGGTGAGGGGCAGGGAGCAGGGCCTGAGAGAGCAAGTCCCCCATGGGTCCCAGAGCCACTGCAGGGTCAGTGGGAACCGCTGCTCAGTTCCTTCAGGCTTGGTCTCCCCTCTAATTGTCCCTGAGAGACTGCACCCCTAGGCGTCCCTGAGAGAAGGGAGGGCGTCCCTGGATCTGAAAAGCCAGGCGGACTCAGTCTCCTGGCCCACAGGAGGGGGGTCTGACACTGACCCTGAGTCCTGTCTCCTTGTTGAGCCCCAGCCCCAGGGGAGAGGAGGGAGGCCCCGGGCCCTGGTACCTGCGCGCTGCAGCACCTCCTTCCCCATCTCCAGGACTCTGTGGAGCAACTCCATGCACCTGCCCTCCAGGATGTTCCTGAGTCGCTCAGCCTCACCGGCCTCCTCCCACTTGCGCTGGGTGATCTGAGCTGCGGTGTCGGCCGCGGTCCAGGAGCGCAGGTTCTCGTTCAGGGCGATGTAGTCGGTTCCATCGTAAGCGTACTGGTCATAACCGCGGAGGAGGCGGCCGTCCGGTCCCATGTCACAGCCCCACATCTGCTGGAAGGTGTGAGACCCTGACCCGCCCCGAGGTCAGTGTCGCCCACTGAGCCCCGCCCCCGCCCCGCCCGCGGGGATTAAACAGAAACTGAAAGTGAAACCGGGTCTAGGTCCCCGCGGGCTCCTCCGGGGTGTGTATGGGGGAAGGGAATGGGGGTGAAGCTCGCACTCGGACACTCGAGGCGACCCCGGCCCGTCCGAGGGGATGGGGGTGGTGACCGGCCCGGGCCCCGTGGCTCACCGTCCTCGCTCTGGTTGTAGTAGCCGCGCAGGTTGTGCAGGCTCTCTCGGAAAATCTGTGTCTCTCTCTTGGCGTTCCGGGTGCTCTGGTCCCAATCGCCCGGCTCCACCTGCTCCATCCACGGCGCCCGCGGCTCCGCCCTCTGACTCTCGGAGTCGCTGTCGAACCCCTCGAAAGGCAGGTCGTCCACGTAGCCGACCTCCAGGTACCGGGCCTCCCCCGCGGCCGGGCCGGGGACACGGCGGTGAAGAAATATCTCAGGAAGTGGGGGCCTGGGGCCCGAAGCGGAGGGGCTGATACCCTCCACCTTCCTTCCCTGCGCGGGTTCGGGGTGCGGGGTCGGAGGGGACAGGAGAGGGAAGGGCCCCGGGAGAAGGAACAGGGGCAGCGCGACGGAGAAGAGAGGGGTCAGGACGGTGGGGTGTGGGGGTGTGGGCCGGGGTTGGGGGGGTGGAGAAGCCCTTTTCCCGGGGTTCTTGGCCCCAGGCGGGGGCCCTCGCTTCTTCCTTCCCAGAGGCATTTCCCTCCCGACCCCCGCACTTCACCC